CCTCCTCTTCAGCCAAAAATGCTATTGAACCAACTTCTGAAATATGCTCCAAGTGCTTCGAAGCCATCTCTCCAGAACTTTCAAAACCGGTCGTATTATTGACATGTAAACACGTTATCCATTTCGAGTGCATTGGCAACAAGCGTAATTTATGTCCTAAATGTCCATCGGTGGATGATTTAGAAAAAGAAGGATATTATATCTCACCTGGTATCTCAATTAACGAAGCTCCCAAAAAGAAAAGGAAGAAACCGGAAGATAACACCCGTGAAAATAAGCCTAAAAAGATCTCGAAACCACAAGCCATGATTCGAGAGTTATCGGTCGTACCAATTTCTGATGAAGCATCAATCACTATACCTCCCGAGGATTCCAATGTGGAAGGAATATCCAATAAATTCCATCGCCTATATTGTGAAGTTGATAATATTGAAAAGAAGGGGGATCGAACAAATTGGGAGGTGATTCATTATTATTTTCGGTTTGGGAAAGCACTATCAGAGCGCCTCACTGTGTTGTTAAAGAGCAAGCCTCCGCAAACAGCATATACTGATCTAAACAGTGAAGTTAAAGAGTATCTCCCGAAAAATCTCAATAATGCTATGATACGTAAAAGAACAGATACTGCTAGAAAAATTTATGATGTGTTTAGCAAACTTGGAGAAAATAAAATTCAGCGGGTTAAATCATTCACTGCATCTAGCTTTTCTGACTTAACTAGAAGTGAGGTTAAATATATCATGGAAAATTTCCCCTCTGATAAATAGTAGGGAATTTTGTTTCTCGTGTAGTGTCTTTATCAGAATTATAATAAACTACAATTTCGTTGCGTATGCAATCGTGTATATTTACTGCGCCACAGTCACGTGACGCCGTTCTGGCTCAGAACACCCTCTTGCACTTAAAATTTGTAAAATAAAGATTGTGAAATCCTATTTCCACGGTATTACTGATCGAACGTTTTATGGATTTGCGAAATTATTTTAATATATTTTAAGTATCTTGACATTAGCTCCGCTATCAGTATATTGTAAACTCCATTTTCCACAAATAACATATGAATTTCCTGATCGGTAAGAATCGCTATATAACATTAATTATTTATTGCAATAGCGAATTCCCATATTCCACGAATTCGGGCATATGATATATTATATTTTTTAGCCAGAATCGGTAATGCATTTGCTATACCTTTAGCCGTAATTATATCACTAATCGCTTCGGGTGATAAGCATGTAGCACTTGATCTTAATCTTCTAACCATTTTAAGTGTCGAAAACACTAGCTTTGCTATATATGCAGAAAAAATAGAGACAGTCTCATTACTTTGTAATAAAAGATAAATTCGCTTTATTATCAGATTGATAAATTATTTTTATGCATACTGTAGGCTCGAATAGCTATGCTTCTGCCATAAATTAATATGCACAAATTGAACGGTTTGATTTTGTATAAGTTTCACCAGTATTTAAATCATAATAATAACCTCCGTCGTCATCGTCAGAAAACCTACAGAAGCTCCCATCATCAGAGAAATTCTCGTCATTATCCTCATTATCATTAACATCCTCATTTTCTTCGTTGTTATTGAAGGGATCCTCCTCATCAAAGTTGGAATCTTCATCGCCGGATACACTTACCTCTTCCTTGAGTGAAGATTCGTCTTTCTTACTTACCTCATCTACCGAATTAGAAATATGTGATGACTGAATAGAGGGAGTGGTTATAGTACTTACCTCTGTTTCCGATAAAGTTTTTTCGCATACTTTAGTTTCTATATCAGATTTCGGTTGACCATGTACGCGTGAAGAATCTTCACGCCGATCAATTTTTACACTAATGAGATTTTTTCTTCTTTTTCTTATATCTCTTCTAATAGCAAGAGGTGATAAAGGCAGAATTAAGGCAGAGTGATTAAATTCTGCTAAAGTATATTTGTCAACACCTTGTATATAATATAAATATTTTTGGGATTCAGATGATGATACCTTCGCATCTAATTCTTTAGTATAAAGATTTATAATATTTTGAATTTGTGTACCGGTTAAACTAGAAATAGCATCAACACTATATGTAATGTACTCGATTTTATCTATTCCTATCCTTTTGAATAATGTACAGATAGTTCTAGCCTTTTGAGTCATCTTACGCAAATACTCTCTCTTGATACCAGGTAGATACTGCATCATTTCATCATATATTTGCGTTCTCGCCATTTGATCACCAATATTTTTTTCTGAACTAAGATTTGAAACTTTTTTTTCATATTCCTCGTTATAATAATACCATCACAATTTTTCTTTTCGTCCAGTTTTCTCGGCCTTGCCAAATAAACGAGCTAAATGAGGTACAGAACCTGGAGTTAGATCTATATCAACAGAAATGTTTGAAATTTGTTTAATAAAGATAGAATTCAATGGAGTTTTCTTTAGACTTTGTAAGGACATGGAATCGGTGCCTCTAATAAATTCAAATAACTCATGTAATAAACCTTGTTCTACTTTCCAATTATAGGGAATTTTTATCACCAATGTACTAGCTTCTGTTATTTGGGACGGGATATCACTTAGTTCAGGGATGTCACTTTGTGCTTGATCAGTAGATAATTTGAGCTCGGGACAAGGAGACTTTATCTTTGATTGGTTATTTTTCTGTTCTCGCAATATATCACATGATAAATTAGATTGATCCGATGAACTATTATCCAAAGATAAGTTTTGATCCTGAAGTTTCTTTTCCCTAATTTTCTCCATTATCTCTTCACTAACACGTTCTTTATATTTCCTTTCTACAAAATCTAGAGTTTCAGCTAAATCGTCATCAATAGCGGAGCTAGTGCTAAAGCACATAATATCTTGTGGCAAAGAAGTGATAGATGATACAGGATCAGTTAGAGATTTAGAATCGCTCCTTTGGGTCTGGGTCGAGTTATGTTTGGACAAGAGATCAAGAGTAATACCATTATCTTTATCGAACTGATCTTTGATAGGTGGTGAAATATTTTTTGCGAGGGATACTTCCTGTTCATTAGTGATAACTGGGTTTGCTTCCGTTCCAATTTCGCAAATCGATTTTCACTTTCTTTTGCCAACTGTTCTAGTTCCACGATTCTGGCATTGAGCTCACCATCTCTCAACTTTGCATTCTCGGCATTTTCTTTTGCGGTCTGTTCTAATTTCACAAATCTGATCTCAATCTCTTCCTTATCTTGTTTTAATTTTATATTCTCAGCCTCGACTTTTGCAAATTTCTTTCTAAGTTCAGGAATCTCGGCATTCTCCTTTCTAAGTTCAGCAATATCAGATACAAGTTTGATATTCAATTCCCTCAATGAATCGATTGTAGATTGGGCATCTTCCATTGTTTTATACAAGATGCGTATATGTTCAAAAGTTTGATAAAGTCACGTGCGCGTGAAGAATTCTTCACGCCGATCACTTTTGCCAAGAAATTTCAGACCTCGGGTCGTTCAAATTTGCCAAGAAAAAATTCTCGATCAAAATATGTATATATCATCACGAAAAAATGATATACAATGTAACCGATTTTTTACCCAAAATAATAGTAGTTCATTCGCACGAAAAAATAATTTATATTAATATATACCAATTCTTTATTAATAAAATATAGGATAAAAAAATATAAAAAATAGATTAACGTGGACAATGTATCGAACATTTTATACATGAAGGTGTATTATTGTTATTGTTATTGTTATCGTCATCATCACCACCGTCAAAGTCATAATTATTATCTTCTAATAAATTAAAATTGTCATATAATGAATGTCGTGATGGTGATGGTTGTCGTGATGGTGATGGTTGTCGTGATGGTGATGGTTGTTGTGATGGTAATGGTTGTCGTGATGGTGATGGTGGTTGTTGTGATGATGATTTCTTTTTTCGACATTTTTTAGTTACACGTTCATGATCGTATTTGTTTTTTCTTTTACTGCAAAGATTATATGATGATGATGTTGTTGCTATTGCTGGTGATGATGATAGTGATGATGGTGATGATGATGATATTGTTGTATTATTATTATCATTGTTATTATTGTTATTAATGTTGTTGTTACTATTATTATCATTATTATTATTATTATTATCGTTGACATTGACATTATTATTATTATTGACATTGTTATTATCATCATCATCATCATTATTATTATCGTTACTATTATTATTGTTATTGTTATTATTATTATTCCTATTCTGACGAGGTTGAGTAGACACTGTTTTTGTTTGTTGATTAAAAAAATTATTATTATTATTGCTATTATCGTCGTCATCGTTATTATTATCATTATTAATAGAATCAACAATGTCAAAAAAATTATCATCATTATAATTATCAACATTATTATCATTATCAACATTATCATTATTGTCATTATCGTTATTATTTTTATTATTATTGTTATTATTATCATTACTGTTATCACCATTATCATCATCATCATCATCATCATCATCATCATTTTTATGTTTATCTAAAATTTTATTGAGTTCATCTTCTCTCTCTTTTATTTCTTTTTCTATTTCTTTTTTTTTTTTCTTTATATTCGAAAATTTCTCGTCTCTAATTACAGAAGAATAATTAAAATAGTGTTAAAGCTAATATATAAATGCAAAATAAGTGATTTTACTTACCATTTTATGCTCCTTAATTATATTGATCCAATAATCTTCGAACTTTTTCGCACGGCGCCTCCGTTCTGAACTGACCTATTGTAAGAAAAACATTTATCAATGTTAACAGTGTGTAATTTTTTATTTAGTGGTGAGGGCATGCCAGAAATCAAATGGTTTAGGGCGAGCCCTATAGTATAGAGAAATCAGATGACAAACGGCATGCCCCAAAAGGAAGACACATAATTGATTCCTCCTCCGGAAGCAATAGACCTTTACCAACGACAAAGTTAGGGTGCCCGAATAGAGGACTTGGAGTGGTTACCAAGTGGTCATACCCAGTAATTCTCATGAGTCGGACGAACCTTTAAGAACTAAGAGTTACCCTAACCTTGCAAAATAAAAAAAAACACACCTGTTTTTCTAACTTATTAAAGTCATTTTCGTTTAATAGCTTTTCTGCTTCTTCTAAAAAGCGACGGCACCAGGACGTGTCAAGGTCATGCCAACGGGAAGTAACCGGCTTAGTGGCAACAAGCGCGTCTCGACAATGGCGTAGAAAGCCCCAAAAAGATTTTTTATCTCGCTTCAAATACGACGTAAGTGCTTCGTAACCAGGATATTTTTGTTCAGAAGTCATGGTATAAAAGCTTAGTAAAAATATAGCTTTGTTGAGGTGCTAGAAAAAGTACAAGAATTGTAAAAAAAACGCGAACCCTTAAACACGTAGTTTCCCCCTTAAATAACGCGTATACTGCCTCAGGCTAAAAAATCTTACAAAGAACGTGCCATGTGTTAATTTATCGAATTTGGTTATCTTGCACTTCACAAGTGCGTTACACATGCATTGGAATTTCCTATAGTTTTCGAATTTCTTCTGTAATACATGTTATTGGTGAATCGCATGACCAGATGATGCTAGAGATGTGATCCGTGGATGACCAATCCGTCAATCCGACGGATTATCCGTGATATCACGGATTGACGGATTACTTTTTAAAAATTTATATAATCCGGATTAAAAAAAAAATAATCCGGATGATCCGAATTATATATATCAAATCCGCGGATTAAAAGATTAATCCACGGATCAAAGGATTTAATCCGGATTATTCTTTCAATCCTCGGATTACTCTTTCAATCCACGGATTACTCTTTCAATCTGTGGATTAGAGATGTGATCCGTGGATGACCAATCCGCCAATTCGACGGATTATCCGTGGTAACACAGATTGACGGATCACTTTTAAAAGTTTAAAAGATCCGGATTAAAAAATCTACCTTAATTTTCCCACAATCCTTTTTTTATTTATTTAATAACATGGCGTAGAGATGTCCAATCTGGATGAAACAACTACCGAAATGTTCGCCTCGACGAGAGGAATCTAATGAGCTAAAAATCGATAAAATTGGATCACAGGTTATTGAAATCGATATTTGATGTGGATAATTATAAAAGAATTTTATTACTGATTAAGCATGTTTTATTTAATAACATGGCGTAGAAATGTCCAATCTGGATGAAACAACTACCGAAATGTTCGCCTCGACGAGGGGAATCTAATGAGCTAAAAAACGCAAAAATCGGATCACAGGTTATTAAAATCGGAATTGATGTGGATAATTATAAAAGAGGTTTATTACTGATTAAACATGTGTTTATTTAATAACATGGCGTAGAGATGTCCAATCTGGATGAAACAACTATCAAAATGTTCGCCTCGATGAGGGGAATCTAATGAGCTAAAAAAACGCAAAAATCGGATCACAGGTTATTAAAATCGCTATTTGATGTGGATAATTATAAAAGAATTTTATTATTGATTAAGCATGTTTTATTTAATAACATGGCGTAGAGATGTCCAATCTGGATGAAACAACTACCAAAATGTTCGTCTCGATGAGGTGAATCGAATGAGCCATAAATCGCTAAAATTGGATCACAGGTTATCGAAATCGCTCTATTGGATGTAAATAATTATAATTTATTATCTATGGGAAAAAAAATAATTCACGGATTGGACGGATAATCCGCGGATGGATGGATGATCCGCGGATTGGACG